TCGGGAGACGCGCGTGAGGAAGGCTGCGAGCGATAAACTTCTCTTTCTCACGATCGCGTTTTCTCCCCCCTCCCTCCCTCCCTCTCTCTCTCTCTCTCTCTCTCTCTCTCTCTCTCTCTTTCTCCCTCCCTTTCTCTCTGGCATCTCTCTCTTTCTATCTCAAATTTTCGCGCACAACCAGAGAAAGGCGGTGCCGCGGCTGCGCTTCTCGAATTAAAACGGACAGGAGATTCTTCAATGCGGAAGAGACACACATGTAAAAGAAATTGGGGTGCGCTTCTCTGGTACACTTTCGGGCGAGTTTTTTTCGGTGCTCGCTCGCGCGGAGGCATCGCGCGTTATAACGGTAATCCCGCTCGGACTGTAATTGAAAGAGAGCAACACGGCAGCAGCAGCAGCAGCGGGAACGGCAGCAGCAACAGCGGCGGCGGCGGCGGTGGCGGCGGCGGTGGCGGCGGCGGTGGCGGCGGCAGCGGCGGCGGCAGCGGCGGCGGCGGTGGCCGCGCTTAATTGCACTAGGTCGAAATCATCGAGGGAACGACGGCGCGGGAACCCTCTTCTCTACTGCCGCGGCCGTTCTTCGAAAGTCGTTTGTAAGAGAGAGGGCCAGGAGAGGTGACCCCCGGTAACTCCGGGTCGGCGAGGAACGCTACGGCTCCTAAGCTCCCATTATTCGCCGGGTTGGACCGAAATTGTCGATCGTTACGGAAGCGTGGATTTGCCTCCTCGTCGGCGAACGAACACACACACACACACACACATGTGAACGCGCGCACATCCGTACTTTAACCCAGCAATTTACATTTGATATTTATAATTTAATCATTTTTTCGTGATCTCAGTTATTTTGCCGAGAGATATTACAGGACGAGACGGGACGGCTAAAGAACGAGTTGTAATACTTTGAATTTTAATACGCGCTTTGCCTCTCAATTTCTATCTTTGGCTCTCTCTCTCTCTCTCTCTCTCTCTCTCTCTCTCTCTCTCTCTCTCTCTCTCTCTCTCTCTGTCGGATGTATGTATTCTAAAACATTCGCGTGTGTGATACATATCGGAAGCTTCTCGAAAGTTTGCTGTTTCGTTGCCGCTTGGAGTTCACGAACGGTTCACGAAAATTTAACGGTCTTTAATACGAATTAATACGGGTTCACAGGCATGTCTGCGAGTAACAATAGAACGCCTAAGATTCCGCGCGGTATCAGCGCGCTTCCGGCACGATGAATGGCTGAACAATTATATTGTAATTCATGCGAAGAGAGAGGAACGCGCACTGTGGCGCCCATGTCCGACGTTAATTGCGATATTAACATGCGCTCCTAGCAGAATATAATGGTGATAAGCGATCCGCAGATAGAGCATGGACTCGACTAGGTAGCTTCAGTTTTTCGTGGTTGCTCCGTTCCGGAGTGCCGACTAGTAGTACCGCGTGAGTACTGCGGAAGACTTCAAGGTGACGATTCGACGGGCGGCGGTGGGCGAGCTCGCGACGACGGCGAAGACGAACGCGGGGTATTATTGTATTGCCGCTTCTGCTCGATGCTGGCCGCGAGAACGCGCGGCACGGGGGGAGGGGGGCGCAGCAAGAAAATTATAAAGCGCGAGTGACGGGGCAACATCCGCAAAAAAGCCGTACTTACGTAGCCGTAAGTATGTACCTCCCGGCTGAGAACAAGGAGAAGGATGTGTGTAGTACCGCCCTCTCTTATCCTTGTGCAACTCGCGGGAGAGTCGCGAGAGAGTTGCGAGAGACCGGTGGCCGTCCAGCGCGACACGGCGCGGGACAATAAAAAAGAATTAAATGAAAAAGAAGAAAAACGAGGATCACGAGGGCAAACACGCCGACGCCGACGCCGACGCCGACGCCGACGAGCTGATCAATTAGAAGCAAATTCCGACTGTAAGGATCGTTATCTAACGGACGGAACCGAGTCTTTTGCTGTGATAAAACTCGATTACATTTCCGACCGCGCCTCTGCCGCAAAGTGTGTCAATAGTCACGCATTTTCTCTCGAATACCGCCTCTGAAACGAACAACGGACAACAGACTCGACTTTTTCTTTCTTACTTCGTGCGAACGTGTCTGGTTCATTCTTGCGAGCTTGTCTCGTGTAATGTCCCGGATGATTCTGACGTGCGACTTTGCGCGAGAGACCGCGGACGACGACGCGCGTCTTTTACGCGCGAATTTTATGGCAGCGAGAGCAGCTGTGGCGAGCCCAACTACTTCCCTCGGCACACATCGTACATCGTACATCGTGGCGGAAAGCTGCGAGGGAGGTTCCTATCGCGTCACAATATCTAAGGGCACGGATAACTTAATAAACCGCGTCGGGTGAATCATCGCCCGCGGCCGCCGCTACTTATCTAATCGCTCCACTTTACAGCAGTTTGCTACTGATTTGTCTTAATGTGTGCGATTAATATACATAATCGTTTTTTACCCACGTCAACGCATCGAGGCGAACACGTTTCTAGCGGACGCATTAATTTTCCTAATTAATTAATGCAGCCTTCCAGTTTACGCTGCCGAACGTCGACACGTGTTACAACGCATCGGCGAATAATTTCGGTGCTAATTAAGTTACGTACGTAACGAACCGCGCGCGTGCGTTATGCAAAAGCCGGCCTCATAGCGGTACAAGTCTCTAATGAGACTATAAAAAAAGAGAAAGACCTCGCGGAGTGTCGATCGTCGGCGGCGAATGTCTCATTACTTCATCGGGGAGAATTATTGATCGTTACTTGATGCGTGACTTTATTTCGATGGATTTACAGATTACAGAAGGTATCTCACGGCGAAGACAACAACAACCGAGCGACGACCAAGGCAAGACTGTGACGTAATTTATGTGTCCCGAGGAACAGAATGCGCATCTAGATTTATGCTAATAATAATAGAAATGTACTACACACGTGTATTTAAATATACACGCATATTGATCAAGCTCGCCCGTGAATCAGCTGCGACCGTGCTCGTTATTAACAGCTTGTGATATAACACACACGTGACAGTTTGTTAATTGTAATACAGAATATTTTCCCTTTTTGTTTCCATTCTTTTCTTTTTTCTTCTTGCACTCTTTATGCTCTCCGTAGCGCCGATAGTTGTTCCCCAAGGCGGAAGCCCGCGAGATGGAAACGCATATGTGAGAACAGCCTCGCGTAGATGCTGCATCACGCACGATAGCACCTTGCGCGATGATGCAACGAGCGGCTCGAATTCCACGCTCGAAAGGAGCCGGAGCATTATGCACCGAGAGATCGCGGCGATCTATATAATAAATAGTCGAGAAACTGGTATGGAAATAGAGCCGCGCGCGCGCGCACGCGATATCGCGCAAATTAACGTTCGATATACGCGTGATAACGTCACGCACGGGTGCTAAATCTCGCTCGAATCATACTGATAGCGCGGTCGCGCTTCGGATCGACAACGGATGATCTCTGTGTCGCGTTGTTGCTTCCAGATGATAAAATACGCGCGAGTATACGACTAGAGACTCGATCTTCTTCCATACTTTGCGGTTACATACGATACGCGAGCGCGCAAAGACGTATTGTCTCGTCTTTGAGGCAATTTTCCGATCGATAACGCGATCGATATCTAAAACCACCACAGTGTGTGTGTGTGTGTGTGTGTGTGTGTGTGTGTGTGTGTTACGCTTTGGTACGTAGTACGCTTTGGAGACAATTATTAGCTTTCTCAGACGTACTCAGACTGTCACATCTATCGGTGAACGAATCGGTGTGTTTATTCGCGCAAGTTGTACTTGCCTCGAGCTAGAATGCCTCCTCGATTGTATATGTAATATTTAAGCTAAAAGAAACTTGGGTTCACAGCCGCTCGCGAACGTATCGCGAATGATCGCTCTCTTGTTGCAACTGTACACTTTTGTGAATAGCACACATGCCCCGGGGTGCTCGTACAGGCTGCTCCGACGTGTGCTTGCATCACATGTGTTCGAATACTCGTCGTGCCGTTGCATTGACTCTTTGCCGATCTCACTCGTTATTGCTGCGCCAACGAAGGAACGAAGGAACGAGACGAGACATTTCTCGCTGGGCCCGTCGCGCACGAAATTTGCGACTTCGTCGTGCTTTACTAGCACAAGTGACTCGCGACGTTACGCGGTCGTGTCGCACCTGCGGATGACCGCGGAGGAACGGGCACTCGCGCCGCCCCGAAAAATACGATTGTCTGCGCTGCGCGCGATCGCGGGTATATACATATATATATATATATATATATATATATAAATAGCAGCGCGATCTTCTCGCACGCTGTGCTTTTTACGGCTCTTAAATGCCGGCTTAAATGTCTAGAGTGAAAGATACCGCGGTAGCAGCGCGGTCTTCACGTTTCTAGGCTGCGCGCAGCGACAGAAGCGCGAGTTGCTTTCACGCAAGCGTCGTTTCACGTAGAGTCGTCTTTCTCTCTCTCTCTCTCTCTCTCTCTCTCTCTCAAGAGAGAGAGAGAGAGAGAGAGAGAGATAGATCTCGTGAAAAATACGTCATACTCTCCCGTCGACTTGCGTCACCGACCATCAAAGACTATCGATCGTAGATTCCTATCTGTCTTAGCGATTCTATGCGTATAATTTATTGGATATTCATGCTTCGCAGACTCGAGTCGCGATCACAATGAACAGGCGTGAGTAATGAATTTTTACGAGTAGAACTGACATTCTTCGGTTATACCAAGTTTTACCTTGTATAAAGTATGTCGAGAACGAGAATCTCCGACTCTCTATTCTTCTGTTCTGCAAAATTCGACAACAAAATATAGCTCGCGTTATTCCACCTGTCCACTTTGACCAGTTTGCACTGAAATGAACAGCGAGCTAAAAAACAGCGATCAGTCACAATGCGATGTGATCGATGCCTCGATGACTTCCGTTTCCGCCGATCCTCTTTGCAGGCCTCTTAGAGCAAGCAGGGGGATCGGGAGACCACTCTGACGAGAAGCAGAAGCGGGAAGCACAAAGTGGTGGGGCGCTTACCTGTATGAGGTGGGCAAGGAACAGGACGTAGGCGGCGGCCGTCCTCATGTCTCTCCCTGGGGAATTCCCTCGACTACCGCATATCACCGATCCCCGTTGCCGCTGCTGCTCCTCGGTCGCTCTCCCGAGCACTCCAACTGCCGCGCGTATCCGTCGCTCTCTCACCACTCTCACCGAATTATTACCGAACGATTACGATCGGTCGATGATATTTCCCGGCACACTGCACTTTGCTGATCTTCCTTCCGGTCGGCGCACCAACACCGAATATATCGCTCCACTCCGGTCGCCGCGCGTCGGTCCCCCTCGACCCCTTCCGTCGACACTCAACACTCGTGAACACTCGGGGGAGGTTATGCGCGAGCACGCGCCCGTGCTGCGCGTCACCGTCGTTGGCCGCGGTTTCTCGCCCGGGTCATCCGCTAGGATCGAGTTCGACGCGAAGCAGATGCGAGAGAGAGAGAGAGAGAGAGAGGCAGAGAGAGAGAGAGAGAGAGAGAGAGAGGCAGAGAGAGAGAGAGAGAGAGAGGCAGAGAGAGAGAGAGAGAGAGAGAGAGAGAGAGAGAGAGAGAGAGAGAGAGAGAGAGAGAAAGAGCGAGTACGATGAGCTCGTGCTCGAAGAGGACGTCGAACGGCAGGCAGGTGAGGAGGCTCTCGCGTACGCGTCTCGGCCGCGCTCTCGCGACGCGACGCGGCGCGGCGCGTCGACAGGTACCTTTCCCTCGATCGCCGCTACGAGCGAGCGGCTATCGCGATATCGCCGCGAGAATACGATCCTCGCGCTGCGCTTCTTCTTGTTTTTCCTCTTCCTCCTCCTCCTTCTCCTCCTCCTCCTCCTCTTCTTCTTCTTCTTCTTCTTCTTCTTCTTCTTCTTCTTCGTCTTCTTTTTCTTCTTCTCTTCCTTCTTCTTCTTCTTCGTTCACCTCTGCCCGCGCAGACACCTCGCGCGACTCACTCGTTCGCCATTTTCTATACTCGATACCGGTATGGCGTTTGCGCGCGCGAGACTAATCGAAGCTGAGCGATTAGGTCGCGATTCGCGGCTGAGTTCACGTCGCGAGTTTCACTCACGAGAGAACCGCCGACTCCGAATTCGTCGGAGAGAGAGAGAGAGAGAGAGAGAGAGAAAGCGGTCGCGCGCGCACGCGCGAGGAAGCCCGCTCCCGTACTCGGCACCTGCTTTCCTCGACGCGCGATGTCCAGCACACGTGTTCCACTGGCCGAAGATGATATCCTATGGTTCAAGTAGAGATGTCGAATCGTCGCGTCGGTGGTATCACCGTCTCTTCCTGCCGGGCACAGAATCACCACTCAACCTGACACGTTGCGGTAACGCAACGGTGGTGGGCGCGCTCGAACATGGCGGCAATTCGGAACTCGGCTTCTGTCAGGTAACAACGAACAAATTTGTCAACTATCCAATTATTCACTCGACTGCTCGCTTGCGTCGACGCAATGAAATGGTCGCGAGAAACAAAAGTGAGACACCACAATTCGTTCGTAGAGAGTCCCTCCCTTTTGAGACGCGAGCTAATCTCTCGCACCCCTCGCGGAGGAAAATCCTTCGTTTCACTAACGCTTCCGCAAAGACACAGAGGGAGAGAGAGGGAGAGAGAGAGAGAGAGAGACAGAGAGGGGGGGAAGAAAGATCGAATGACACTGTTCACGCACACGCGTTCGCGATCCCCTCGAACGACGACGTGGAAGTGGACGTGTTTCACGCGGGAGTGCACGAGGAAGAAACAGGTGTGTGCACGTGTCGCGACGTGCGGCGCTCCTCCGTCGTGGTGTACGTGGTGGCACGCACGTTGCTTCGAGCTGCTAACCGGTGCGTATATAGACGTATCTGTGTGTATGTGTGCGTGTATACATGCGCACGTGTGTATAAATGTGTGTGTGTGTGTGTATGCGCGCACGCGCATCCGTGTGTACTACCGTCTTACTATCGTGCGCGCACGCTGGAGTGCGAAAACGCAGCAACCTCCACGGAACTCACAACTTGGTCGCTCCGGGTATACTGAGTCGAAGCCGCAGGCCGGCCTGCGGGCCTCCCCCCGTTCACCACGGCTTGTCCCCCCGCTCTTCGTCGGCCCCCTCGTTCGTCCTGACCCCTTCTCCAATCATTCCACCTCCGGGAGCACGGAGGACCCCCTTACGTTCACCCCGCTTCGCTTCGCTTCGCTCCGAGTTTCGCATCCTCACGGGGTCCTCTCTCTCTCTCTCTCTCTCTCTCTCTCTCTCTCTCTCTCTCTCCCCCTTCCCCCCCTTTCTCTCTCTCTCCTCCCGCATCGCATTGCCACTTTACACACGTTCGCCGGCACATCTCCCTCTCTCTCTCTCTCTCTCTCTATCTCTCTTTCTCCTTTCCACTCTTCTACAGTCTCTATATGTCTCTCTTATCCTCTCGTACGTCCACCTCGTGTGCGCGCGCGCGTGTGAGTCCGCGCGAAGCGCACGTGCGTGTGCATCGAACTTGGCGATCATGCTCTATGCCTGTGTGCGTGTCGCGTACATCTCGAAGACTCTCTCTCTCTCTCTCTCTCTCTCTCTCTCTCTCTCTCTCTCTCTCTCTCTCTCTCTCTCTCTCTCTCCCTCCGTCCCTCCTACCTCTCTATGAGGGGCATTACACGACGTACACTTGTGCCTCTCGTGGATGTTGGGGCCTGGCCCGCGAACACGAGCGAACTAACGCGCTTACTTATATACGTCTTACAATCGGTTTCATCACGAGCGAGTCTGTAACACCATGCTTGTGTACTCTCACCTCCCTCGAACGCGATCGAGGCGAGAACGCGCGCGCGCGCGGGGCTAGGCGTGCTCCGTGACCGCCGCTCGAGATATGAATTTCGCGGGGCCGCTCCTCGAGGAGTTGCGGTCGCGAGGATATCGTCGAGCCGCGGATTGCACCGCCGGGCTGGGCTGATATGAATTTCGTTGATTGACTGCGGGCAAGACGCGGTCGTCGCGGATCGATGAACGCGACGAGCGCCGGCTTCGATTCGATTACGATTCAAATTTTGCGCGGCAGCGCGATGTGCACGTGGTCGGATTATTAACTTTCTGAACGTGGGGATTTCCCTCTTTAACAACCGACAACACTGAAACACGGCGCGAAGTATGTAGTTTAATCTTTCATGAAAAAGTGAGAGGTGAAAGTCGAAGGTAAAGTGGAAAGCAGACGAGGATCATTAACGAAGTTTATTTTGTCAACGTTACGATCTGCTTACGATGAGAGAATAGTACAAAGGCAACGAAAATGCTTCCTTTCTGGTGGAAGGGTTGACGTCTGGTCTCTCGTAGGTAATGTTTCGAGTCCCAATTTAAGCAACAATTTGAGAGGAAAGGATCGCCGATGATTGGACGCGTTACATTCAGGGCCTTATAAAGTGTCCGGTGGACCGTTCTTCGCAAATTAGCCGTCCGCTCACACGGAGACAAAAAAGCGTTTAAATATCGCTAATAATCGTTATATCGAGCCCGATGTGTACGTATCGAGCCAAACGACCGGGAGTTTTCGGCAGGCTCTCTCTCTCCCGGCTGCAGCAAGATAAAATTATATATATTCACGAAGAATGATTTCGGACGATGAATAATGGATAAGTCCTGTCGCGTGTCCACCGTCATTATGTAGCGAGCGGGCTACGTTCGTTCGCGAGAAGGAGGGGGGAGAGAGAGAGAGAGAGAGAGAGGGAGGGAGGGAGGAAGACAGGAAGAAAGAGATGCCATCAGCGTGTCGTGGATCGTCATTGAATTTCTGCCCCATATACATATATACATATATACCGTTCCTCGTAATTCGCGTGTCGGAGTATCGTGCGAACTGCGGAGTCGAGCAGTTAAACGGCTATAAATTATCGGCGCAATGAGAAACCTCCTTTACTGATCCCCTTTTAGGAACTATATAATAAGGATGTGCATGTCGCGTTTACGTGACGCGTCGTCTGACGATCGGGAAACCATAATCGTGCGGATTAACGTTCCTCTCGAAAGATCCGGACGTTATCCTTTCGGAGGGCGCCGGCTTTCGGCGAAAAATCGTCACTTCGCGATATTCGCGCGTAACTCTTCCGAGGCATGAATACCTCCGCGTTATCGCGAGAACGCTTATCTCGTTGTAACGGAACGAAATAACAATTTTATACATGTGTTACTCTCGTGTTCCCGAGTCGTTTGATAACCCACCCGAGGCACGACAGAAATTCTCTTTTTACTGTTTACGTAAAAATTCGACAGGGCCGTTATTGATTCACGGGACGCTTTCTGCAAAACAGGTGGACGTCGCAAGTTTCGCGTCAGTTTCGCGACGCGATAAGAAGAGGCGCGGCGCTTAATAGGAATATTCGTGAGGCAGGGTACGCGACGGAGAACCGTGGTACGGGGTACGGGGTACGGGCCCTAATCTTCGAAATGAAATTTCACGACGCTATCGTGTCAGCCTCGATTCGCAGAGTCATTACAACGGCGAGGCTCACCTTGGCTGAAAGAACCTGTAACGGATGGTATAGCGCAACACACGGCGCGGCTATGTATCCATCCTTCTCTTTCTCTTGAGCGGCAGTCTTGGATCGTCTGACGTCGACGACGAACCCAGTGTGGTAGCGTAGCAGTATGGTGTACCATGGTCCACACGAACGGATCGGTAGTGGGATGCTGCTTGGTCCACGATCTTCGTCTTTCTCTCTCCCTCTCGTTCGATGCAGTCTCTCGCGATTCCGTCTATCCTTCTTTCGTCTCCTGTCGTCTCATTCCATTCCTGTGCCGCTGTCCTTCGTCCTCTTCTTACTACTAGTCGCGTCGTCGTCGTCGTCGTTGCTCTCGCTCTCACTCTTGCCCTCCCGCGAACGCTCGTGTTCATTCTCTCTTTTTCTCCCTCCCTCTCTCTCTCTCTCTTTCTCTCTCTCTCTCTCTCTCTCTCTCTCTCTCTCTCTCTCTCTCTCTCTCTCTCTCTCCCTCTATCGTCTCGGAGGACTCGCTCACTCGAGGGCTCCGAGTTAGCCGACGGGCATTATGGTGGCTACTCCGCTGGCTTCTCGCGTCTCTCGAAAGCTCACAAGAGAGTGTGCCCCCGAGGGTCAAGGAACTCCCTCGGGAACAGGTTCACCTCCTTCTCTGCCTCTCTTCACTTCTCTTCTTCCACCTTCTCTCTCTCTCTCTCTCTCTCTCTCTCTCTCTCTCTCTCTCTCTCTCTCTCTCTCTCTCCGATCTCCCTCTCTCCCTCTCCCTCATTCTCGCCCCCTCTCATCACGCCGCCGCGCAACCCGCCCTATGCCCCCTCCGGTGTTCGTACCTTAGGGTTTTACTTATTTTCTCTTATTACCGCCGGTGGGCATGTAGGCACGTTTCACTCATACATCCGCGAGTCCAGCCTGTACGTACACGAGTACGGTCCACCTCGAGGTCCACTGGATTCTCCCCCCTCGACCCCTTTCTCTACCAAGCGCCGTTCCCTATGCTCCTCTCCCCCCACCGCC